TCCGACAGTTATCAGCTGCCTTCGGAGTCAAACATCAGTGAGGCAGAAGAACAGATGGAGCCTGTTCTCAGTGTGCGCATGCTCAGAGCTGCCAGAAGACAATTAAGAAAGCAGGGTCGACTTAGGAGTAAAGCCACACCTTGGAGGTGATTGGCCCCTCCCAGAGGAGACAAAAGAGGAGCGAATGGGGAGGGGGCTTTTGCAGGCAACAATCCGTCCCTTCGGTCGTTTCAAGAGTGGAAAGTTCTGTTTGTGACTATAAGAGACTCTGTGCCAAGGGTTGCCTTGCCCTGCGGTTGGAAACTAGTTATCTGGCAGTTCTCCGAGCGAGATAAGGTGCGTGTGGATAAATATTCCTCGGAAAGATTGTTTGCCAAGCCTTGCTGGCTGGGAATGAAAGGAATTCACAGTCGTGTAAATAAAAGAGGTTTTGCAAGGACCAAGATTCTGCTTCATGTTTTTTTTAAGGAAGCCTGGATCAAAAACAGGCCTGAGTATCACTGCTTGTATTTTTTCAGGATTGAAGAGCAAGACTTGGAACGAAGGTTTGAACTCCTGAGCCGTGAACTTCGCACCATAATGGCGATCGAAGGTGAGGGCACACACACCCCTCGAGTGAAAAATGGGCGCCAGATCTAAAACCAGAAACATTTTTGCTGGGCATTTTACCAGAAAAATACAATAAAGGGAATGCATACTTAATTTTACACGTGTTAACAGCAGCTAGAATTGTATTTGCACAACACCGGGAAAGTGAAGAGATCCCTACAGAGGAAAATGTAAATAAAATATATATATTAGAATGTGCAGTAATGGATGGATTAACACTTAAAATTAAAGAGAAACGGAATCCCTTTTAACAGGGGACTTATTTTATCAATGGCTAAGTAGCAGAAAGGGGACGCAGTGGCTCAGTGGCTAAAATGCTGAGCTTGTTGGATCAGAAAGGTCAGCAGTTGGGTGGTTCAAATTCCCAGCGCCGCGTAACGGAGTGAGCTCCCGTTCTTTGTCCCAGCTTCTGCCAACCTAGCAGTTCGAAAGCACATCAAAAATGCAAGTAGAAAAATAGGGACCACCTTTGGTGGGAAGGGAACAGCATTCCGTGGGCCTTCGGCGTTGAGTCATGCCGGCCACATGACCACGGAGACGTCTTCGGACAGCGCTGGGTCTTGGGCTTTGAAACGGAGATGAGCACCGCCCCCTAGAGTCAGGAACGACTAGCACAGATGTGTGAGGGGAACCTTTACCGAACTAGCAGAAAGAGAAGTTCGAAATTTGGAAGCCTAAGAGAATGATGAATTACATAAGGAAGGATGATTAAAATGGGCAAGCAAATATTATTATTATGTTGTTATTCATGTTATGAATGTTATTGTTATTATGATTACTGTTTCCCAAAATTAATTGGACTCAGACAACATACTGTATGTTGAAATGGAATTTTTTATATTTAATAACTTTTTAAAACTTGAAAAGAGGGAGAGAGAAAGAAAGAGAAAGGAAGGAAGGAAGGAAGGAAGGAAGGAAGGAAGGAAGGAAGGAAGGAAGAAAGAAAAACAACTGAGCACTAGGGTTCATTGTAGCTTCCTGGAACAAAAAGCACAAGGAGATTGGAATTCGTGTCTCCAGAGGGCCTACCTTACAAGGGAGTTGTAGTCATTCAGATCAAGAAGTTGGAGGGTGGGGATAAAAACACAGGTCCCGCCTCCCAGCTGCTGACCCTACTCTCTGTTTATTGGCTCCCGAAGATAGTGATCTATGACACAGGGCCTTTTTGACATTTCTTAAACAGGGAGGTCCACGTTTTGGTTCTCTTTTTCTCAATTCCTGTTTTGTTATGTTTTGAAATCCCTCATTTTTGATGTAAGGCTGTTTTTCAACCAGGTTAACCCTTTCCCTGCTATTTTTTCCCCCAGCCTTTCAGAGGGTGGTTTCAAGAGTTGGAATAATCTAGGGTCTCTTACTTGAGCAGGGGGTTGGACTAGAAGACCTCAAAGGTCCCAACTCTATTATTCAGAGGAGGAGAATGGAGGAAGAGAAGGAAATGGAGAGAAAGCTCTTCTGCTTGAGCAGGGGGTTGGACTAGAAGACCTCTGAAGTCCCTTCCAACTCTATTATTCTAAGGAGGAGGAGGAGGAGGAAGGAAGGGTCTCCTGTTTGAGCAGGGGCTTGGACTAGAAGACCTCTAAGGTCCCCTTCAACTCTGTTATTCGGAGGAGGAGGAGGAAAAGGAAAGATGCCTTCAAATGCCTTACTGAAGTCCAAGTAAATGATATCCAACTAAGGAGACATTTTTTGACAGTGAGAACAATTAATCAGTGGAATAACTTGCCTCCAGAAGTTGCAAGTTGTTCCATCACTGGAGATTTTAAAAAAGAGATTGGACAGCCATTTGTCTAAGATGGTATAGGGTCTCCTGCTTGAGCAGGGGGTTGGACTAGAAGACCTCTAAAGTCCCTTCCAAGTGTATTATTCTGAGGAGGAGAAGGAGAAGGAAAACAAGGTCTCCTGTTTGAGCAGGGGGTTGGACTAGAAGACCTCCAAGGTCCCTTCCAAGTCTATTATTCAGAGGAGGAGAGAAAGGTCTCCTGCTTGAGCAGGGGGTTGGACTAGAAGACCTCTAAAGCCCCTTCCAAGTGTATTATTCTGAGGAGGAGAAGGAGAAGGAAAGCAAGGTCTCCTGTTTGAGCAGGGGGTTGGACTAGAAGACCTCCAAGGTCCCTTCCAAGTCTATTATTCTGAGGAGGAGAAGGAGAAGGAAAGCAAGGTCTCCTGTTTGAG